CGTTTGCTCAATCGTTTCAGATTTTCCCTCGCGAGAGAACGAGACAGACGGGAGAATGAGAAACTCGGAAAGAATTGGAGCCCTTTCTCCATTTTCAGCTTCCACATTATTTTGATGAATTGCCTTGACTTTGCATTATCAATTCGGATGACATTTAAAAGATATACAGGTCAACCATCTCTTTTTATTTTTAATATCTTTACCATACACTGTAAAAAATAATGGTTCAGGCTGGAACTCTTCAACGGTTCTACACCCTTAAAAAGGTTCCAGGTACTGCAGAACCATACGAGTTAGTTCCAGCCTAGACGTAGAACCTCTGGAACTGGCCATCGGTTCTTGGTACAACCATTTCTTGCGCTTTCTCAAAATGGTTCGGAAAAAAAAAAGATCCCTTCAGGGCGAGACACGTAGATATTTTTTTCGCATTCACTCAAAACTCCCGCCTCCTCCTCAATCCCGTTCTTTTTTAAAATAGGTTTTACCAATCGCGTCAGATGGCGCCTAAGCGCCGACTTAACGATTCTCACCCTACTGCCGTAGGAACGAATCCCCTGTATTTTTCAACACGGTATCCAGTCTTTTCCCATGAACAACTTAAGGGAAGGCTTTGGAACTCCTAGAAAGACTCGTCCAAGGCGGTAACCCGGTCGAAGGAGACTCCAAATACTACTGACCGGGATGTCCGAAGAGACACGCTCAATTTTCCTAAGTTTCTACATGGCTCTCTTCTAGATTGAAATTAAACAGGGGCTGTGGCTCAACGTGTAATTTCTTTGCTGGATAGAGTTGTGCACTCGACTCTAATTCTGATCTAGTAAAGGAAATACAACCTCAGCGAGGACATTAGTACTCAATCGAGTACTATTAAATCTCTGCGACTCGGCCTTTGGAAGGTGCCCTCTATGGGATGACAGTACTTAATGGAGTACCCAGGTAAAGAGTTCAGATCCAAGAAGTGGAGTACTGCAATCCCCAAACGTTTAGAAATGAACCTTTGCTCAAAAGTTGACAGCGTTGTTTTCCCGTTGGTTGTTGATGGTTCTGTGTGGAACCATATTACTAATGAAAGGGCTTTAAGTGACACCTTTTGCAAAGGCGTTACATGTAACCTTCATAGGTAGTTCCCTATGGAACCATTAAATGGTTGCAAGAAATTTTCACTGTGGAACCAGCAAAGAGTTCCAGGGAGAACCATTATTTTTTACAGTGCAGTCTGCATATTATTCCTTGCAGAGAATGAAGAAGAGGAGCGCGAGCCCCATTCCATCCAGGGGTTCGTTCCTCGCCTGTGCTAAATCTAAATCTAAGTCTAAAAAAATATAAATATAAATAAAATATAAATAAATATAAATATAAATCTGAAAGCAGTCTAAAGGCAACAAGTTTATTCATCGCTTCGCATTCATGCAATCTAGATTGAAATTATCACTTGTGTTTCTATGGCACGATTCTGTCAGTAACATAAGAAGAAAAACCTATGATGAAGGAAGCAACACCGTAACCATAACGGCTGCAAGCCGAGGAACAAGATATGCATATCATGATGCGCTATCCGGTCTGATATCCGGTCAGCGAGTAGAAGATAACTCGGAGATATACAGGTTTACCATCTTTTTTTTTTCTTACCATATTCTTTGCAGAGGATCCTGCAGAGGACGAAGCAGCGGAGCACGAGCCCCATTCCAGCGGGGAGAACAGGAAGGAGGTCAGGAGGTCAGGCGTGAATCCTCGACGGAGTTCCCACTTCGCCGTCGTCGGTGCGTTTGGAGTTCGAGTCAAGTGCAGACCAAAAAAAAAAAAAAAAGACAAGGAGACGTATGTGTGGGAATTCGTGGGAACGAGTGTCCATCTTCTCAGGGAATGAAAAGATTCCGGAACCGCGTCGAAATCAAGAATCGTATTGACGCATCAGATTGCATTTCTCAGTCTCGGTAAGCGTTCTTGAATGAGCCTTTCCAAAACGTGCATTTCACGTAGAATCCATCTGCCATGTGTTCTATTTTTATTTTTATTCGAATGAAGGGCATAGCCGTAGTGCTCTTTCGGAAAGTCTCTAATGCCCGCGGTCTTGCATGAGCAACGGCCCATGCAAGGTCACAGGGATGTTTCCCTTTTTTGTAATCTATTAGGTTTGGGGAAAAGTATCCGGAACTTTTTGTGGGTTAAGCTTGAGGGGTTCGTGCCACGCCGCCAAAGCTTGTTTTGTGGCTATGTTATATATGAAAAGAAAGACGCTGAAAAGCTCTGTAAAATGTTGTATATCTGCCGCGTATAGCTTTCAGGCAAACGTTTTCCCGCTCGATTGAAAAATGCGGCTGGACGACCACATCCGTCATTGCTTACTTCTCCAGTTCGATAAGGGGCGCAACGCGAACGACGCGGTCCGTCGCATGTACCCCGATGCCTGTTTAAGCAAATCCACGGCATACGAATGGTTTGAGAAGTTTTCACGTGGAGATCGAAATCTTCGAGATGAACTCCGTTCTGGACGCCCATCCGCAATCGATGACGATGCGCTGAAGTCCATGATCGAAGATGATCCGCACCAAACCACGTCTGAATCGGCGAGCAAACTCGGCTGCGACCGTACAACCGTGTCCAATCGCCTTCACACCGTGGGAAAGGTGCGCAAACTGGACAAATGGGTCCCTCGCAAGTTGTCCGAAACTGGGAAGATTCAAAGAGCGACCATTTTCTCAACTTTGCTGTCGCGTCACAAGGAAGACCCGATGTTTGGCCGGATCATCACGTCAGATGAGAAGTGGGTTCTGTGGAACGACCAACGAAGATCATACTCTTGGCTGGACCCCGATGAACCCCCGAGCAAAATGCCGAAACCCGACCTACACCCGAAGAAGGTCTTTTTGTGCATTTGGTAGGCCCGATTCGGCGTCGTGCACTACGAGCTCCTCGAGACCGGCCAGTCCATCAACTACTGCACACGACTACAGCGCGTCCACGAAGCCCTGCTTAAATTCCGGGCCGCATCGGTCGATCGGAGAAAGGTCCTCTTCGACAACGCAAGACCACACGTCGCCAAAAAGACCCAGCAAAAATTGAAGGAACTCGACTGCCAAGTTCTGCCGCATCCACCGTATTCACCTGACGTTGCACCATCGGACTACCACCTATTCGGGTCGCTGGACAACTTCATGTGCAAGAAGCAGTTCCCGAACGAAGGTGCACTCAAAAACGCACTTGATGGTTTCTTTGGCTCACGGGATGGGTGTTTTGGGAGAGAGGAATCGATTCTCTTGAGGAAAGATGGGAAAAAGTTATCGATTGTGAAGGAGATTATTTTGATTGATAATGTTTGTTGCGTGAAAAGTTACAAGGGGTCAAAGATTTGAGCCGAAAAGTTCCGGATATTTTTTCCCAGACCTAATAGATTAAAATCATCACTCGTGTTTCCATGGCAAGATTCTTCTATCAGTAACTTAAGGAAAAAAAACCTATGATGAAGGATGCAACACCGTAACCGTAACGGCCGCAAGTCGAGGAACAAGATATGATGCGCTATCCGGTCTGATACAAGCCAGATGTTCATCCTAATGGCAATTATCTTTACTTTTTCTTTTCTATTACAAGTATCTCTTTCTAGTTTAGGAGCACATTTCTAAATCATAGGTGAAAATATCGGATCGAAGACTGCGGCTATTATCCCTTTCATTTCCGCATGGGACTAAATTACCAGCCTCGTAAGTCGTATATTTATTTCATTTTAGAAGTAATTAATATTGAATTGGTAATTGGTAAGTTGCTTTCTATATGTATACCAATGCTCATCTTGGTTGGATCTCCACGGTACGTTTACATTTAAATTTCATGAGAGACTCCAGAAAATGCGAAATGTAACACCCAGCGACACAAGTTTCATCTCAGTGATATGAATAAGTAATAATTAATTCCTGCAATTGCTCTGAAAATCTTCATCTCTCATCCATCTCCATCCGAGAAGGCACTGGAGATCTGCCTCGAAGACCCGCGGTTCCCCAACCCGATCAATGTTCCTTGCCCCCCCCCTTCTCGTTTTTACATTTACCTCATGTTGTCTCATGTTTACATGCTTACATTTAAATTTGAGTGCTCTCCTGCTGGGAACTATCCCATAAATGGGGGAGTTCTTATATGGCAAAGATTACCTTGCAAGTAAACGATGGAAGGTAAGAGAAAAATGTAGTGTTTAACATGTAACAAAGCAGTGCCTAATATCGGTGCTTTTACAAGAACCATGATTCCCAAGTCGAGGCACTTTCGGCGACAACAACTGGACTAAGTGTGTATAGATGCGGTCAAGTAAAAGCCGTTTTTGATCATCGCTCATTTTTTAAATGAGATTTCCTGGATTTTTCAAAAGTAGCTTGACCGGAAGTACGAGCAACCAGTTAATACCGGCCCGTCATCGTATACATTTAAATATCAGAAGAAGCCTACCCGACGTCCAAAGATCCCCTGCTATATATATAAATAAACCGTACCGACGAGGCAGACCTGCGTTCTTCCGGCGACGGTCCCCGCCGCAACCAGTCCCTTTCTGCAGTCACACGGATTCGATGCACTCGTTTGAGAGTGGCGGGGAGTGAAAGGACGAATATTGCGTCGATTGAAAATTTTCTCATAAAAATGTGATCTATTTCGTATCTCCATTTCTCTTCTGTTGAACTCGACGTACACGGTCGAGATCGCCATGAAGCTGTGAAGCCCACAGCTGTTCCTTTTCTCAATCTTTTTCAACCTGTGACACACTCGTGTCGGCTTATGCGGGCAGCCGTGTACCCAATCGATATTCTGCAGTAATTTCACGTACACGAGAATTACAAAAATATCTTGCATCGTAAACTCTGTGATCCCTGCCGAGGATGCACTCTTTGGTTGACTTATGGAAATCTGAGGCCGTTTGGTAGCGAAACGTTTTGATGCAGCGGACCCTGAGTCTAGTTTCTCGACGTACGAGATTTATTGCAAGACATCGCAAAACAGCTTAGACGCAACGGACTTCAGTCCTGAGTACTGGCGTAGACGATGAGACCCTCCCCCAGGGCGCATTCCAGGAAGAAGCCGTCCCCTAGGAGGTTCGTCAGCTGGCCGTTTTCGACCGACCAGAGAGCGGGAACCACGAAGGCCACGTCCGTGCTGTTCAGGGTCAGGTCGAACGAGTTGTAGGCGAAACCTTCGTCGGTCATGTAATTGGACACCATGGTGTAGGCTGATGTGAAGATGGTCGCATCGGGGGCTGGGGACGGATACAGAAACATTAACACCTTCGCCGCGATGCGAATAAATCACGGCAAATCGACGAGTTCTTACAGTCGGGGTTGTTGATGAACATTTCCCGAAGGTAAGCGCCGCCGGTGACCCCGTTGAAATTCGACCCGCTTCCGGTGGGATCGTTGCACCGTTCGAAGTCGATTCGCACTTCCAAGTGAAGTCCGTCCATCGCTGCTCCGAACAACTCGTCGTAGGTGGCCAGGGGGCGACTGGAGACGGATATAAACGCGTCACGTTTCGGTCTCGACAGCGAGAAGAAAATTGTAATTAATCCCGTTTCGGCTTCTTAGGTCTCAGGGCAGCCCAACAATATGCGTCAGGGGAATGCCGTCGGTTTATTCTATACCCAGGTAACACATCCATGTGGAAACAACATTGAAACAATGTTTTATGGCAACATTTATAATGTTGAAAAAACATTGAGGTACCGCATTGACTCAATGTGAAGATGTCATTTTTGTCAACATTGTTTCAACATTACTTGTTAATGTTGAAACAATATCGATGGCAACATTCATTCAATATGATTTCCACCTTGCATCAACATTCATTCCACATTCCTCAATGAGTCCCTGGTAATTGGGTTCCTCCATGGATCAAAGTTGAGGTAAATTCATCAAAATGACCAATGGAATTATATATACTAAAGAGGATAAATGCTCTTCAATTTCTATAGGTCACTACTCAGAGTAATGAGAAATTTGAGAGGATGGGTCCTCTTCTGTTCTGCAAACAGCAACGAAACTTTGTGCGCCTGGACAGTTACAAATTGAGGATAGACCCTCTCCCCTTTCTTATTGAGGATTTGTGAATGAATCACTTCAGTTTATTCCAATGAGTTCTCTACATGTCTCTAATCGCCTAGACTTCTATGCGCCCACACTAAATATGGAACACTAAATAAATAGAGGAAAGTGGGAAGAAAACGCTTTAATGGAAGGTGACAGATCCGTAATTGCATTAGGAGGCTACAGGGAAACATGGATACCATCTAGTGAGGGCGCTTGGTACTTCATTATGATCCCGCCTAGACTACACTACCCTGGTAGCATAACGTCCATAAAAGGATGCAAGACGACTCGGCGATGACCGTAGGATAACTGGAAATGGTTTATATATTCGTATATTCCTGACCTTTAGCGTCGAGTGCCTTTCCTTTCGAGGGCTTCTTTTTTTTTATCGCGTTCGCTCTTCTTTTATATTGGTGGAAGGGATCCTGGCTTTGAGAACATCCTCAGCTTCCAGAATATGATAACCTGGTGCCTCCACCCAAAATTGTGTTTGGTAAACGGGAAGTTACACGTAGATCTATCAGGTGACGTCAAATATGCAGTTTCGAAGAAATCGATAAGAAGTGCTACTAATTTCCAAAGCGCGGAAATTGACAAATGGAAAACCGCATCTGAAGCTCGCGAAATGGCTTCACTCTAAATAGATGGAGACCTCAGTTTTACCTCATCCATCAACCTAAATCTGCTTACTTCGAGAGTGGCCGGAATATTTGTCTCCATCTTCGTGAAATATTACGGCAAAGGAGCCTAAATTTGAAATCCGGCCTTCAAGCGAACGATTCCGTCAGAAAAGCCTGTTTCGAACATTCCCCGAAAAATCCTCATGATGATATGGACTTTTCCGTATCGACACCTTGAGGAAGCCACCCGACACCTTCATTTTCTTGTGACGGATATAAATGCGTCACGTTTCGGTCTCGACAACGAAAAGAAAATAGTAATTAATCCCGTTTCGGCCGCCGGCTTATTCTATACCCAGGCAACACATCCATGTGGAAACAACATTGAAACACTGTTTCATGGCAACATTTATAATGTTGAAAAAACATTGAGGTACCGCATTGACTCAATGCGAAGATGTCATTTTTGTCAACATTGTTTCAACATTCCTTGTTAATTTTGAAACAATATTGAAGGCAACATTCATTCAATATGATTTCCACCTTGCATCAACATTCAAAGGTATTTAAGAATTTGAAATACCTTTGCCTGGCAGGAGAGGAGACGATCGCGCCGGTTCCCACCGGACAGGTGTACGTCATGTTGCTCAGGATTTCTTCCGTTGCCGGATTAAAGACGATCACCTTGCTCTTCAACACGTTGTCGTCTCTCATCACGTATTCCTGGAGGACCATCGATCCCGTGCCTGTACGAGGCGATAAAAAGCGATATTAAAGGTTTCTTCGGCCTTACCGAATGACTGCCACCCGACAGTTGCAACACGTATGAGGGACTCACTGGCGGAATAGAATTGAGTAAAAGCAAATTCGTGACCGACGGCACTGTCGACATCGTACTGCTGCCATTCCAACACCCTCACTCCCACCGCCTGCATAACGATGTCCTCGTGCCAAAAATTCCCAGATATCAGTGGAATCAAAAGAAGCGGGGAAAAAAAACACGCACCGCTATCAATTCCGGGGCTCCCTCGCACTGGGTGTGATCGAGGGAAACTTGAAGTTCCTTCCCCGCCAGCAGGGCTGCCTCTGCCTCCGCAAACGAAACATGGGTCTCATATTCCTCTTCTAGAAGGAAAAAATAAGTCATCTGTGAAGCTTTCTTGGAGAAAGAATATCACGTGTTGTCATTGCCTGTCATCTCATGCATGAATAAGCGAGAAGAAAATTTTCTTCTTGAAAATTCTTATGAAAATGACTACTATAATTGACTATACAACATAATAATAAGCCATATTACCAGCATACATCTTTGCTTTCAATGATGAATTTCCGACAGTCCATTTATCACAAATGACAGCGATTGATGACCTATACTTGCAATTTGTCTATGCCTTAGTCTAATTTGCTTGGCAATACCGCTTCACTGCCACTTTTTCTTCCTGGAGATGGATCCATGCTTCACAAAACGTGAAGTTCCTTAAGGCCTTCTTTAATCTTTCGTTTATAACAGCCATATAGATGAGATCTACAGCATAGTAAATAAGTGCATAGGAGACCGGTGATAAAAGCGGATATTATGATGAATGTGGTTCCTTACCTTGCGATCGAGTTATTTTTTCCCACAAAAGTAATTGGTGAATTATAGAATAAGGAGAATTAAAATTTGTATGCCCAAGAGGTCAAAGAAAAATCATATAAAATTGCCCACTCAACAGTACTTCTCCATCGCCGAAATCATAGCCCTACTACTACATTAAAAAAATAAGTTTTTAAAAGGTTAGAGGCTCACGTCGCCGATGCTGGAAACGGGCGCCATCGTCGAGCGTGCACTGAAACCCCTGTGGGAAGGGATATACATCTTCCCAGGTCGTCGTGAGGAAGGCACTCCCGGTGACGTTCACGAACCCATCTGGATAGACCCTCATTCGAGCGACGTTGAAAGTGGGCGTGGAAGCATCCATGGTTACCCCCAAATAATAGTACTCCAGGATGATGTCCTCCTGTCCGTTCGCCGGGTCTACAAAGGTAGGATTTCCAGTTATTGAAAAAGGAACGATGCTCTGAATGATATCCGATGGAGTACAACTTGAATGTTCGTGGTATCTCCTATGTTCGCTAAAGTAGAATAGAGCCTTTCCTCGCATCAAATTTTCTCTTTGCCTAGTCCAAGGGATTTGAATATCGAATAAAGCCGTTTTGAGGATGCATGTTGATATCCAGCATCGAGTGAGAGTTTCCATTCCTCCTCTCGAGAATCGGTTCAAAAATAGACTGACTGATTTCGACGTAGAACTGAAGATGGTAGCTTCCTCCCTGGGCCTTGGACAATCCCGTCGTCGGGTTTCCTTCGCACAATTCCGCCAGGCCCAAGAAGGTCACGTGAGCACCGCCGAGGAGCAGGGATTTCAGGTCATCGTAGGTCGTGATGTGTTCACTGAAAAGAATAAATATCAATGTTGTCTTCCAACACTTCCATATATTCACTCGTCCTAGATAATACAAGACCGTCAGAAAAAGGATTACACTTTCGTTTACTCTATTTTCATCCTAGAAACGAATTACTGTTTTTGGAGACCTGGATTAAAAGCGACCGTGATCGCAAGTTTCAGGTTCTATCTGTATTATGAAATACGTTAGAGACGCGCTCCACTGCGAACAGACTTGGGGAAGGCGAATCTCTTCTGGATGAAGATGGCTCCAACGTTGATGACGCATTCGGCGACGTTTGTATCGATAATGGATCCGTTGAGACCCGAGATCGCGTAGATGGTGAATGAAGCGCGGCCGACGTCGTCCACGTATCCGGTCACGAGCAAGAAGTTCCCGTCGTCTACCGAGTAGCCCAAAATCATACTTATAAGTTTCCATGATCCTTATGAAAAAAAGAGAATAAATAATACCGGCCGCAACATGGTAGAAACCGAACGACCAGACCTCATAGAATCCCATTCTACATTTTTCTGTGACGTTTCATCATTTATCGTGTTGGAGAAGTCATACAATCGAGCAAAATTTATTAGAAAAAAGTGAGAGGCATGACCCCAATCCACGAATCTGTCCGCGTTAGAGAATGCGCAAATGACACAGCTTTGTGGAACTCATTCTTTATTCAGTGTCTCATTCTGAAAAGCTGAAGATGAGAGGGTTTGAGTCGAGAACTAAAATAGGCTCCTCTCAGTGATTCCGAACATCTTAAAGGTAGTCAGCAATGCATTGCGGTACTTTGCTCGCTTCGTTCCTCCTTGGAACGCGATGATAAAATCGTCTCCTCTATTGAACAAACGAGCCCACGCATACGGCTTTGGAGAATTGAAGTGTTAAGAAAAATATTAAAATATGAAACAATCCTGCAGGACACTTTCCAGACCTGACTCTCGTGAGGACCCACACTCCACTTCGCACCGAGACGGGATCGAGCAACACCCGAGAATGCTTCGAGTGGGCCGCGTGTTCAAGAAGTTTGCCAACCGTGGGCTTGGAGGGACTGCTCGGATCCGCTCATGATCTGGCAGGATTTTTAACGAAATCGTGAGCGAGGAGTGATTGCCTCCGCATTCGCCCCTGCAATAGTTGGCGACAGATTGTGGGATTCGCGAAGAGGGCAAGAGAATGCTGGCTGCTGCTGATCGAATCGGTGGCATCATAAACCCGGGAAGCAAGTTAAAGGCTCCGATGAGAAACCCCCTGATTCCATCTGATTTTAGCAGTGTCACTTCAATCATTAAAACGTATTACCTGCCATTCCCGTAGGTACTATGGGGAAATGCCAGATATTGCGGTCGATCTGTCACTTTTTTTTCTTTTTCATTCCGTCTATCCGCAATAACCATATCAACCGAACAACACGACCCAATGCTCACGCGCAGCTTTCCGCCTGGGTCGGGGTGCCCGCCTTTCACGTAAAACATCCACTTTCCTTCCAGCTCTGGCGGTTGACGGGTCCATCGAAGATAATATGGGAGAGCGGCTGCTCCCGGCCGCATAGACAGGGTTGCTAGGCGTACGCGTGAAATGCGGCATCTGGCATCCTACACATACTCTCCTCCCATCGCGGGACGCGCGAAACATCCAGAACGTCTAGTTCTCTGAGACTTTTCATATAGGCCTATGCCGTACCAATAACAGCTATTATTTATTAAAAGTTGGATAGTTGGGATGAGGCGAAAATTATAATTCCAAAGGTATCGGGGCCATTTGAATGGCAGATCTGTACCTGGATTGGTACACTAGTTATTCAACCTCTCAGATTGAAACTTGCTTCAGCAGCAATAATGATAATTTAAAAAATTAGGTGAGCCTCCCGTCCTGACATGCGTAACTGGGAAATCGAGGGGAGATTATTTTTTATGTATTTGTTGGCGTCCTTTGGCTCCCGTTCTCGTTCTCGTCCTAGGAACGAGATTACGTAAATTCCCTATCGTCTGTCTAATGGATGAAAAAAAAGCGTTAGTCAATTCGCAAAGTTGGATCTATGGGAACTTCCCCGTCCGCATCAGGTCAAATGAGCTCCTATGGAAGGTCTCAATAGAAGAGAAAGAATTATACGTACAGAAGATGAAGTCGTGGTTGAAGGTGATGTAATCCTCGCTCCCGTCTTCGAGTTGGATCCTCGTCCACGGGTCCATGGGAACCACGACCCTCTGCCAAGGCAATCAATTGCATCCAACTTTCCCTTCTGCTTTCGTTTTGGAACGTGGAAGAGACTGACCGGGGTGAATGCGGGAGGGAAGTCGGCATCGCAGTTTTGGGCGTCGAAGATGGCCGAGACGTGATGGCCGAGTTCCAGTGCCGCCGCCAACTCCTCGTACGTTTCGAGCACCTGACCCCCTGGATTGTTTCATCGTTTTTATTGCTCCGGAAACGAAATTTCAAAAGTAACTTTTGCGTGCGAGTGGACTTCATCCTTCTCAGAAATAAGTTAAGAACTACGACGAATGTCATAAGGAAATGGATCTGTTCCATTTGTCAAATGCACGAATAACTTTGTACTATCGAGATGGATGAAGGACTTGGGGGCCAATTGATATTTTGTGATATTCTCTACCCTAGCATGCTTTTCCCATCCCGTGTGAGGACCCGGTTCGAACAAAACCTTCGGGGTCTTTAGGGTCCCAGAACTGTGAAAAATCTTAATTCCTGAATAAATCAAAGTCATTCCTCCTCACCCACCCTCACTTGGAAGCAAGAAGAGGTGCGCCGTGCCATCGAACGGCCAGCGGCGCGATCTCACCTTGGGCGAGAATGCCCGGCAGGAAGACGGAGAGAATGCAGAGGCAAAGGGAGAGCTTCATCGCGGAGAGTGGGCTGTTGCGCTGCATCTTGCTCATTTCCACTTGGGAGTGGGGAGTCGGGGCGGGGAGAACGCCAGACGGTAAGGTGATACGATAACCTGCTTTTTCCCAGAAATTTTTTATTACAACAGGATGTTTACGTCCATGCATCTGATAACATTTTGACAGTCATTTTCCTTCTACTCGAGAAATTTCGACGTTCAGATGGAATAGTGCCAAGTGTTCTATTTTTGGCATATATTGTTGGAATAACTTGATTGGTTGCCGAGACGCACGACACGATTCCAAGCCCATGAGCTAGACAGGCACTGAGAGTGTGGCAGCTGTAGCAGTCCAATCTTTTCCGTATTTCTCTCGGGGAAAACATAACCTTGGGTCCGGTGATATCAGAACCACAGTAGACGATTTTTTCTACTGTCTGGAACGATTCTTTGCGCGACATAATCCTACCTCACTCATGGACTTTGGTGATGCATGTCTACTCGATGTCACGGTGGCATCGCTTGTTCATCGAACTCACGAGCTAGATAGGAATTAGCATTTGTACAATCTTGTGGCGAAGGAAGGAACCGAATGGGCAGACGAACGAGAAGACGAATCCTCCTCGCCCACAAGCAGGAAGGGACAACAGAGCGATGGACCCTCTGGTCAGACTCCTCCGCCTGTTTCCTGCGAGGAAATTGAAATCTCCTTCCACATGGCTAAGCTCTCCGTCCGCTGGAGGCATTTCGGAGGAGCTCGACGCACGCCGACGTTCATCCATTCGCGGATGGTTCGAAAAAGCGGGGACCTCAGGTTATATCCGTCTTCTCAAGGATGCTGGGAATTATTTCTTTTTCATTTTCGGATACCTCTACACGGAGGGTCGTGCCTCCAATATGACCCCAAAATACATTTTGGGGGCACGTTTAATGTTCCTGCAGCTTTCCAATCGACTGGAAACTGTATCAATCAATCGGAAATTATTGAGGAGAATTTCCGGGATTTCCCGAACATCTCATATGCTTCGTCAAAATGTCGATTTGAACATCCTGTCACAGTTGGTCAATAAAAATGAGGCAATTGACAGTCGTCCGAACATCATTATTTTTTGTGGGAAACATTGAAACCCAAAAATGAAAAAGTCGAAATGCAGCTTATTTACGAAATGCAAAGCATATTTGTGCAAATCCGCAAAGCCTCATCGGCGCACATTCCAACCTGACAAATTAAATTAAATTGCTCTTATTTTCAGATTCTCGCTGCTAATTTCAGCCTGCCGACTCAATGCAGAGGACAATGGACGTGATTGCGCCTCGCTGAAGTTCAGTGAAGATCCACGAGCACCTTAAGAAGACGCGGAGGCTTAAATTTTGGACAGGAGATGAGATTCCGGCCAGAATCAGGCGTTTTCCGTCGTCGCGCTTGATGAATTCGACCTCTTCGGGAATTATGTCCGATCGAAAACCTAACTAAGAAACAGCTACTTGTTCCAACGCTCTTGCTGCAGTGTCAGTCCAAGGGAGTGGACTGAAGTTTTTTGAATAAGTGAATCATGCCACATGCGGATGAAAAGTCGATCCAGGTGGCGTGGAAAAATTAAAGTGTTAGAAGTAGCAATTATGAGAATTAAAATTTCAACCATTTTTGCTAGAATAATGTAGGCTGTATAGAAAGTGAAGGATTTTCCTTTTCGGAAGAGACGGTCTCATCGTCCACGAATGGATAAGTGTCATCTAGTGCCTCAGGTAGCATCTCGGGAAGAAGCCGAGGTGCAATGCCTCGGCGAACGAGACGCCGGGTCTCGGACTCGTAGAGAAGCTTGCCTGGGACCGATGGGGCAGCGTCTTTGCTTTCACCTTCTCTTTTTCTCCCATGTCTTACATTTGCATTTCGTCTGTCGTTAGTTGACGGGGGTTTGAGTGATGTCGCATCGAGCTCTGAGTTTGCTCTATCTTTAAAAAAGGTTATTGCTGATAATTGGGTAACTTGGTCCGACGTTAACGTGGAGTCTATGGTGTCTAGAGTTACACTTCAGTTTCACTTCCTTTTTACTCTGATGAGAGTGAAAAGGAAAATTACTTCGATGTTGACTTCTTTTTAAAGTAAAAAAGGGAGGCAAAACGAAGAAAAAGCGAGTGAAACCATAGGAAGTGCTCACTTTTTTCGAAGAGTGCACAAGGGAATTTTTAGAGAAGGGGAGGGGGCGCGCGATCCGCCACCACCCGGGTGCCTAGCCGGGAAGTTGTGGGGGAACCAAATTTGCTCGCATCTAAGGAAATACATTTTAACTTCTTCGACTCATTCGTCGTAAGAGTTCCACAGTTCGTGGAAACTCTGGGTTGAAGTGCAACGTGATGACCACAGGAACAGGACAAGGCAGCGTGCATGTGCCGGGAGGAACCTTTCGTCCTAACAGTCGCAACACAGAAATGCGGGTTACTGCAGGTCTGGTTTATTCCAAAGCCATCGATGAATGATGAAAATGAGAACGGCAGGAGGTTCTCAGGGCCAACGACACTCTCCAGGGAGCGATAATAGGACCGAACAAGTAAAAAAAGACCGTTGGACTCTCGAAAAATTTACGAAGCTTGAAAGGAACTTAATCCATCACAGTGCGCTGGCTGTGAGTGTACTCATGTCATCCCACAGAAAGCGCCAATGTTGTCTTGGTTCACTTTCCCCCCAGAGATGGGGCTGTTCGTAGGCTCGGCTCTCCTTTCCCTCCAGAGATGGCGCTGGTTCTATAAGGCTTGATTCTCTTTTTTCTCCAGAGATGGCGCTGGTTCCATGGGGCTTGGTTCATTTTTCCCTCCAGAGATGGCGCTGGTTCCATGGGGCTTGGTTCCCTTTTTCCTCCAGAGATGGCGCTGGTTCCATGGGGCTTGGTTCCCTTTTTCCTCCAGAGATGGCGCTGGTTCCATGGGGCTTGGTTCACTTTTCCCTCCAGAGATGGCGCTGGTTCTATACTGCTGGTTCTGGTTCACGGTTCACTGCCGGCTATGGTCCAGAGTTGGTCCCACGAGCTCGAGAGGGATTTCTCCCCCTTGTTCTGGCAAAGGTCCAACTTTAGAAATTGTACCACTAGGTGAACCTGACATGTATAATATTCATGCATTTCCTTCCTCAGAGAATAGGAGAAATAAAAACCTCGAAGACTGGACTTACGGCATGAGGAGATTCAAATGACGATGAAGTTGACTTCGTAAACGAAGTATTGACTGAAGTGGTAGAATTTGAACCTCTTTTTATATCCTGGAAACGCTGCCTGCAGCGTATCCGTTGGACCTTGCCCCTCCCCCTCTGAGCCAGATCTGTATCAACCTTTCCGCCTATCTTTCAGTCGCCTCCAATGCAATCAGAACAGGATTTTCGCCTTAAGAAAGATTGTCCGATATGTTTCCTAAAACCCTTGCCCTTTCCCTTGATTGCCATGTGTAAAATATTACGTTCTGTTGCATCCGTAACTTCAGTTCTAATTTTCGCTCTCGGAGTGAGCATGTTTCCTCAGAATTCTTTCCGTACGACGCTCCAAGGAGCACCAATGGTCATGATGCTGGTTTAACTGGAATTTTAGCCAATCATGAAAACGAATTAGGCATATACCGATGCGGCATAAGTGTCTCGATGCACGAGACGAAACTATAGGATCCCCAAATGGATGCTCTCGTGACTTTCCGCATCAGAAGCGGAAAATCATTGCTTGGATCCGCCCCAGTTCCATTCGCCGATTCAGATGCGGGCGACCAAATCGGGGCTCGCGATAGCATGGAAGAGGCTTCCACGAACATCCTCCATATCTTGTCTCGCCGAGCCCGATAACGTCTCTCCATGAAAAGTGCTTCATGACGACGATGATTAAAATATCAATCTCACAGTGACATAGGAACTAAACGTTCGGAAGATTTAAGTCTCGTTTATGACTTAGGGGTGCAAAAGGAACGAAAGAATAGCGCATTCGCATTCCTCGGGTTATTTGATGATTTTAGCCTCTCTGAAAACGCCATCTCGAGATGCTATTTCGGTCACGAGATTCCTTCCTTTTCCAGACGATCCATCTTCACGCGATTGTGTGTTTGGAACGGATCGGAATGCCGAGCCTCGACTTTTTCCGGTGGTCTCGCATCTGGCATTTCCATGGGTACTATGGGGAAATGCCAGATATTGGTGTCGATCTGTCACTTTTTTTCCTTTTTCATTCCGTCTGTCCGCAGTAACCATAGCAACCGGACAACACGACCCAATGCGCACGCGCAGCTTTCCGCCTTGGTCGTGATGCCCGTCTTCCACTAAAACATCCACTTCCCTTCTAGCCCTCGCGGTTGGCGGATCCATAGTATACACGGGGGAGAGCGACTGCTCCCGGCCTCGTAGACAGGGTTGCTAGGCGTACGCGTGAAATGATGCATTTGGTATCCTGCACATACTCTCCTCCTATCTCCACGCGACGTGGACGCGTGAACCATCCAGAACATGTCTAGAAAATGTCCGGGCCTTTTCTTATAGGCCTATGCCGTACCAATGACAGCTATTATTTCTTTCAAGGTCGCATTGTTATGATGCGGTGAATATTTTTAATAATAGCAGTGGTTCAGGGGCCATTTGAATGGCAGATCTGTACCTGGGCTGGTACTCTCTAGATGGAATCTTCCTCGTGATAGCAATTTATTTCGTCTTCCATTTTGTCTCGGTGTCCGAAGAACGGCCTTATGGCAGGATCCGGCGCACTTCATGTTTCGCATTCAAGTACATGAAATGCATGTTGGATTGTATCCTAAGTGTCCTTATTATTGCACTACTCATTTATAAACAATTTAAGAAAATTGTTTGTAAAAAAAAAAATGTTCGCCCTTCTAACCCGCACCATTCATTTTATTTCCAATGTGGCGCGCCTTTCCAAAACAAGGTCAAAGCAAATGTGAGAATGCTGGAAAGAGTCCTTCATTATTAGGGATTCGTGTCAGCTGTTGACAAAATTGCAGGCCAATGGCGATGAAACTCGGCACGTCTCATATGCGGGTCATGAGTTCCCAAATAATAAAAAAAGCAACAACAAAAAAAAATACTTCTATCACCAGGCCAAAAGGTTGTTTTCGTTTAGGAAGTTTTGAGGCTCGATTTCGCACTCTTGGAGGCATTTATGGAAGCTCATCGATGCCTGAATTTCTCCATACCTTTTTCTCACATTTCTATCAATTGTGTCGCCAGTGGAAAAACCTCACTTGATGTCGTATGTGCAACGAAAAGAGCTTCTCCGAATTTGTCTGAGGTTTCTAAATGGATCATCGAGCAGACTTGAATATGACGGAAATAATTTCTCGCCTCCGTCGAAACGAAGCAGACCCAGGAAATTTTCGAAACAGTACAAATGAATGTGCAATGTGCACATAGAACCTAAATCGTTCTGGGGGTAATTCATTCATTCTCAGTGTAGGAGACATCGAGTTGCAGTTTGCCCGTATGTCTACGATGCATTTCCGATTTCCCACTCTTCAGGTTGTGCATATCTCATCGCTCTTCGTGAGGTTCTATCGAGGATAGGAGATTGTACTGGATAATGAGCCAGGATTCTATGAAGTCCCTTTCGGGAAAATCCTATAAAATCCTAAAGGATCTTTCCGTAAGGGTTGAACCCCATAGGAAAAAATGTTTTTGGGGCTAAACAACGGGCATATGACAAAACAGATGGGATGCGCATATAGTTGCTCCTGAGTCCTCGTGAGAAAATCGTGAGATAACATTAGTATATGATGAGGGTTTTTTTTCCAGTAAAGCAGCAACAGAGGAAGGAAGAGTGAATGACCATGAAGGGAAAAGATTTTTATTTTCTTCCCATTATCTTGTAAGATGATCGGATCCCGTGTTCCATACGTGACCGGATTGAAATCTCCCCTGAGCTGGAAATCGCTCAGATGTTCGCTTCCTCAACATTTTCAACAGGCGATTGTCTTCTCGACAACGGGGTAGAGTTATCGGGAGGCGCGAATCCTCTCTGGAAACATAGATTTTACAGTTCGTAGTCTATGTATTCATTTTGTTCATTGTAGGTTTGCAGTCGCTTCACCAATTAGTTTTGTACGCTTCGTTCGCTTTTGTAAGTTTGAAATTGGCAAGCAACTAGATTACTCAGGGCAGGATTAAGGGGGGGGGGGGGGGACAAAGGGGGCTGTTGCCCCGGGCCCCACTCTTCCAGAGGGGCCCCGAGGGAAATTAAAAACGTTAAGATTGTTAACATTTGCGTAAAGTAGCGGGGAGGGGGGGGGGGAGCCCCAGGAATTCACTTGCCCCGGGCATCGCAATTTCTTAATTTCCAAAATATGGATTTACCCTGAAGATTTTCCTCATGCAAATCAAGAAATCCTTTACTTTCTGGCCATCACATGCCCGAACTTTCAAAGCCCTCTAATACTCTTCACTCACTTCTAGGTGTATAACCAGGTGATTCCATAGGGGGTATACGAATGGAGACGTGATGCGCACCCAACGGGGTTGGAATAAATACGTGGAGGTTGGGGTCGGATGTGCAAGGATGAGCTTTCCTACTTCTCCCCTCAACGGGGGGTTATGGTTATCCCTTGTTGCTCGTCTCACATGAATAGAAATTGCAAGAATTCCGCTATCCAGTTGGAAGTTGGATGACAATTAATGAGAGCACAGGCGACTAAGAGCTTTAGTTGATGAATGGAACCCCAACGGAGTAAGAGTATAAAACGTTTCGAAGTACGAGACCTAGTGTCTAGTCATTCAAAATGGGAGATTTATTGCGTGGTGTTGAAAAATAGGTTGAACATTATGAATTTCAGTCCTGCCGGCTGGAATAGATGATGAGACCGTCCCCCAATCCGCATTCCAGGAAGAATCCTTCCCCTAGGAGGTTCGTCAGCTGGCCGTTTTCGACCGACCAGAGGGCAGGAACGACGGCGGCCACATTCGTGCTATTCAAGGTTATGTCGACCGAACTGTAGGCAAACCCTTCCCCAGTCATATAATTGGTCACGAGCGCGTAAGCAGCAGTGAAGATGCTCGAGTCAGGGCCTGGGGATAGAAGGAGAAATTTTCCCGTCACTGTCTTTCCTCGAAAGTTTAGTATTTACTGCATCGATGGATGAGTCATTACTGTCGGGGTTGATGATGACCATTTCCCGAAGGTAAGCGCCGGCGGTGACACCCGTGAAATTCATCCCACTACCAGTGGGATCGTTGCACTGGTCGATGTTGATTCGGACTTCCATGTGAAGTCCGTCCATTGCTGTTTCGAGCAACTGGTCGTAGTTATCCAAGGGGCGACTGGAGATGGATAAAAAAAAACACATCACCTTTCATCATGAGGACATTTCATCGTACAGTCGAAAGTTGAACTCCTCTAGTTTCAGTTATGTCTTTGAGTCCGGAGAGGTTCATTCACTTAATATAACCTGGCTCGTGCCTACTGACACCAACAGTTAGCTAGCTCATGGTTAGTTAACTGTCAACGCCAGTAGGAATACCACCGGGACACGTTTATTTTAATTATTTATAATTGCGCTATGTTGAAAATGGTTCATCGATACTCATGCTGAAACCAGGAATTGACGAATTCTTTCCAGCACTCACCCTACTTAAACTTAATGGTCCGGCTATTGATAGAGCGCTTTTGCGTACCATCGAGTCCTGCTGAGTTCAGTTAAGAAAGTTATTATCACCGTTTAATCAGTCAGAAGTTTGCACTGTGGCATTATTTATATCGTTACTGAAAGTAATTGTGGCTGTCCATGAAGCCCTCGGAAATGAAGTCAGAACAGCTTAGATATTTAATTTGCAACTTCTCACATCTTCCGGAGGAGATAACCAAACCAAATTAACGATCTGGACTTGTAGAACTAGAAAAGTGCTTTTCTGTGGCTGGAGATGCACCGTTTCCCTGCAAAAAAAAAGTTAAAAAAGAACGAAAAGAAAGGTGTATTTTAGCTAGCTTCTTTTTTATTATTATAGATTTTTAGCTCATTCTGCGGGCTGGAGTCCCTTCCCCCACGGTTGCCGGATATCGTGCTGGAGTTGTGTCAGATTCATGACTGCTTCTGCTTTCATATCGTAGCCTGTGTCTTCTGCCTTTTTTTAAAATGTACAGTCCATTTTTATGCCGAGTTCATGGGATGAGATGAGATGATGAAACAATGGATTACGGTAGGCGATCGATGTGGTGCAATACAGAGACTGGATGGAGGTCCCTGCTGATTACGGCGCCCAACATTCATTTGAATATCGGAGGCAGCTAGTTCACAGACATCCTTGTCGAGAGGAATCGATAAACTCCAGATTGACCCATCCATTGCCGAACTGACCGTATGTTCTAAGGTCGAAAATCTCCTTGAGCAAAAAATATAAGCCTAGGGCCAATCCGAAGACAGTCTGCGGGATAGGCCTAGGCCCAGTAGGTCCGGATGTCTCTCCTGATACTCCGAAAATATTGCTGCCGAATAGGAATTGCTGCTGTGAAGTAAATTCTCAACGACTTCATACTGCAGGATGAAAATAAAATAGGAGAATATGGAGGATTTGACTGTCTCGGCATCGCGGATTTTCAAGAAAGTTGCTTTGCGTACGTGTGGACACGACCATCATCAAGTGAAAGGGATGGCAGACTCTTTCCCGCTTCGAGCGTTCAGTTCCCTCAGTAACAGCGAATGGAACGATAAAAAACGTTGAAAGAACTCTATCCGGTAGAAAGACGATAGTATCCAAACATGCTCGGCAATCGATGGAGTTGGAAGTTTGAAATACCTATTTCTAGCAGGAGCAGAGACTATCGCGCCAGTCCCCAGTGGACAGGAGTAGGTGGTGTTGTAGAGGATTTCATCCGTTACTGGGTTGAAGACAGTCACGTGGTTCCACAACTGGTCATCATCGGTCATGGCATATTCCTGAAGAGCTATCGATCCTGTGCCTGCATGAAGTGATAGAAAATTGTTCAGATTTCATCCCGGAAGGATTATCGCAACAAAAATGTTTAAATGGCAACATTCGTTCGAAAATCTCAATAGGGTATTAAAGACATCATCAACACAAAACCTTACTAAGTGATTAGCACCTGACAGTTTTAATACGAATGTAACGAACATAGTAAACTCACTAGCAGAATATAATTGAGTAAAGGCAATCACGTGACCCACAGCACTGTCCACGTCAAACTGCCGCCATTCCAACAGCCTCACTCCCACCGCCTACATAACAACCTCCTTGTGTAGGCATTCTAACAATTAAACATCATAAGTGGAGTCGAAAGAAGCAAATTAACACTTACGGTCACAACATCCGGTGCTCCTACGCACTGGGTGTGATCGAGAGAAACTTGAAGCTCCTTCCCTTCCAGCAGTGCTGCCTCCGCCTCCGCGAAAGTTCCATACACGTCATAATCCTCCTCTGAAGAATAAAGTATTTCAATGCATGAGATCTTAAGTGAAACAGGAAACCATCAACTGCAATTGCCTGTCATCTCTCGAATAAGCATCTTTTAAAGAAATCAATTTTTAATATGTTGTCCTAAAATTCATTAATACGACATAAAGATGGGTTCTAATGCCTGCATACGTACCAGTACACTCATTAGATTATGGAAGTTCCCACCGACTAAGAACTAAGAATCACAAATATTGCGGATATTTCTTGCGATTCGGAGTTGGTTTGATTCACTTCGTCTTTCAGTTATTTCTCATGTTGTCGTTATTTGCCAGCGATCGTGAAGGCCACTTTCTTCAATTTTCTTTGTTCTTCAATGCAGTGGGTGCAAGAGGCGCAATGGGTCTCAACCATGTGTGCCGGAGGTGTTGAGTTAGTGCCCTTTACATGTTTAATGCAAGGTCTCCAGTTTTCAGGTTGACGAAGAAATAATATTGCTTCCAGTATGCGTTTCATTCCAAGCTGGTACTGAATCATTAACGTTTTTCACGATTGCAAGGGGAACATCAACAAAAGCATGCTTCTATAATAATAATATTTTAATTGGAACGTATGACGATACGAAATGCTCACGTTGCCGATACTGGAAACGAGCGCCATCGTCGAGTGTGCACTGGAACCCCTGTGGGAAGGGATATTCGTCTTCCCAGGTCGTCGTGAGGAAGGCACTCCCGGTGACGTTCACGAACCCATCTGGATAGACCCTCATTCGAACGACGTTGAAGGTCGGCGTGGAAGCATCCATGGTTATCCCCAAATAATAGTATTCCAGGATAAGGTCCTCCTCTCCCGTGGTCGGATCTGCAATTGTGAGATTTCCAGAGATTCAGAGAGGAACGATAGCTTTCAAATGATATCGTATGTACAATTTGAATATTTGTTTTCGTTTCAGTTTGTTAATGACTAGGTTCTGTCAAGAAATGAGCCATTCCTCGCATCAAATTTTCTCGTTGCCTTATCCAAGGGACGAGAACATCGAATGAAGCCTTATTGGTTATGCATGTTGATATTCGGCATCGAGTGAGAGTTTTCATTCCTACTCTCGAGAATTAGTTCAAAAACTAATCGACTGACTGATTTCGACGTAGAACTGAAGATGGTAGCTTCCTCCCTGAGCCTTGGACAATCCCGTCGTTGGGTTTCCTTCGCACAATTCCGCCAGGCCCAAGAAGGTCACGTGAGTACCGCCGAGAAGCAGGGATTTCAGGTCATCGTAGGTCGTGACGTGATCCCTGTAAAGAGAAACGATCAATGTCGCCTTTCAACAGTTCTATTTTCCCTGTGCCTAAATAATACAATCAGAAAAAGGATTGCATTTTCGTTTGCTGTTTTGTCATACTTTTCCTTTCAGAGCTACCAAGAGTGGAAATTTCAGAGAAATCTTTCGTCTCGAATCTGACAGGTACGTGCTTTGGTGTAAACTGACTCGGGGAAGGTGAATCTCTTCTGGACGAAGAAGGCGCCAACGTTCATGACGCATTCGGCGACTGTCGTTTCCACGATGGATCCGTTCGAACCCGAGATTTCATAAATGGTGAATGCAGCCCGTCCGATGTCATCCACATACCCCGTCACCAGGAGGAAGTTCCCATCGTCTAGTAAGTAGAAAGCACAATGCACCTTTCATTAATTAAATATACTCTATGAAAACGGCGGTGCCTTCTGGATGTCCTGAAATGGTGGCATGTGTCATTTAAAAACTTATAATGACTTTAAGGACTGGTTGCAAGCAGCGATTGTGACAGACGACGATCCCATTTTACATTTTCAACCTAAATTTTTTCTGAGGAATTTCATGATGTTCGATTTTAGGCCACAAAACGAGACGAAACGAGCGGAGCTCATTTCTATTTTTCATCTGAATGCCTTTGAGAAACCCCAAAAATACTACATGTAAAATCTTGGGTTGCATCTGAACCAGGCTTCCCTCGGTGTTCACCAGCATTCTACAAGCACTTTTCATTCTGCGGTAAGGGTAAAGCGACCAAATTCGAACGCCAGGGGCCCATTCCGCAGAAGATTTACAAATTACAAGTTTCAAGTCTATTACTTATAGAAGCAAGTTTCTGTTCCACAAAAAATTGTACAATGAAGATTTATAAGTGCAAGTCTATAGACTTGTACTTGTAGCTCCAATTTCTACCAGACTTTCATGTTAGGTAAATGTATTTTCTGGACTCCTGTGGCTAGCAGAGACTATGTATTTTCCTGCTGTGACCATTGCATAGGATAATATATAGGCATAGTTTTAATGTGGTACAATACAGTAGAGTTGGGGCTCATGTGCGTGCGTCGCAAAAAACTTGAAAGAATAAAATCCAGCGCCACAGGAAATTAAATATTCTGACTACAAATATTGCCAGCTAAAGAAGGATCACAGCAACTTTCCTTGGCGTCCTCTATGATAGAATTAACCTTGAATATAAGCGTGGACTCTGTCTGGTGCACTACCAATGGACTCCAACTGCTTCCCCACTCTGTTGGGCATATTCGATTGCACCCTATCTGGAATACGTTGACTCGGACCTTCAGGCCAAGAGATGGCATATTCGATTCTGCATATCCAGTATCACTTTTTCGTTCATTTTGAATTACCATGCCAGAATCTCTCTGTGCCTCCGTTCTTCTCTCTTGCGTACTTCTTGCAATTAAAAGTTTTCACATTCCTTTTATTCTAAAAAAAAAATATTACAAAACTACTAAATTACGAAAAAATACAAATATCCATCTGTTACTAAGATCCAAGAGGAGCGGAACTACAAGTCTACTTGTACTACAACAGAGGAACTACAACAGAGACGACGATCATATTCTGCCCCAAGTAGCACGCCCACGTTGGGCGGTGTGAACGATATCGAAATCCCGCTTATAAAATTTGAGCTTGGGCTAAACGATGGGAACCAACATAGGGTCCTTGTAGTCTATCCCTTGGCCCCATTTTTTTGTGCCAAAATTAAAGTTACATGTAGCTTACGATAGACCTGAATAAATTGTCTGCACGTCCAGATTACTGGTCTCCCCTCCTGCTGGGTTTGCCTCCATGCCCCTGAGAGTCTTTCATCGATTGTGTGAAGGTACTGGGACGAGTACTATCTTCCATTGACTGTGTTTGGCTTTTATTTCCTTCACAAGATTAGAAACTTGTGTATTACGCACCAGGTGCTTTTCCCACCGTGAAGTCTGAAATTGCGTGTCATATTCTATGTTATTCCTATTTTATTCTTATCGCAATTCCTGTTGTTGCATAACACCCTCGGACTTACAACTTGATGGATCAGCCGCACTCAGCCTTCCCCGCACGCTTTTTTTTGGGAAGTCATATTTATTCGAGAATTTGTGCTAGATGTTTTACCTGCACTTGGGATTGAAATTTACTGTAACGACAGCAACAAAAAAAATTGCCCTCACAGCGTAGATAACATGAAATCTATGAATCCAATCCACAATCCAATTTCCAAAGCGCCAAAACAAAGATTGAATCTTCCTATCTCGATATGTGAGGTGGAGAATGAATTAGCGAGGCTTACTTATGACGTATTTTGTTAAGTGAATCAGTTCCCTCCCTCTTTTTGGTCCCAGGAACGAGATTCCGCGAAGTCTTCATTATGTGTCGGACGGGGGAAAAAATTAATTAAGTAATTCGTAAAATGTATTATGCGGGAATTCTTCCGTGGTCATCAAGTTAAACGCCCTCCCTTGCAAGGTCTCCATGGGAGTAAGTGAAATTTACGTACAGAAGATGAAGTCGTTTGTTTAATGGAGAAGAAAATACGTCGGGCAATTCGCAAAGTTGGATCTATGGGAACTTCCCCGTCCTCATCAGGTCAAGTGAGTTCCTATGGAAGGTCTCAATAGAAGAGAATGAATTATACGTACAGAAGATGAAGTCGTGGTTGAAGGTGATGTAATCCTCGCTCCCGTCTTCTAGCTGGATCCTCGTCCACGGGTCCATGGGAACCACGACCCTCTGCCAAGGCAATCAATTTCATCCAACTTTCCCTTCTTATACTTTCGTTTCGGAACGTGGAAGAGACTGACCGGAGTGAATGCGGGAGGGAAGTCGGCATCGCAGTTTTGGGCGTCGAAGATGGCCGAGACGTGATGGCCGAGTTCCAGTGCCGCCGCCAACTCCTCGTACGTTTCGAGCATCTGACCCCCTGGATTTTTCCAATATTATTATTGTTTCGAGAAGAATACGCCAAGAATGCTTTATCTCTGTCCTACGTCTTCCTTTATTTTCTCTTGGGAATCGTGGCGGAATTATGATGCAATTCCTGAGATAGAGTCATCTTCATCGCAGTTGTTCGAAATCAGCTAAAAACTGCGACGAATGCAATCAGCAAAGAGGTCTGCTTCAAATGCATGCATACATACAGCATTCATCAACTGTGTGTTGGGAATATTCTATCATTGATGCCAATAAGGAGATATTGGCATGGCGATAAATTACCCAGGGCTCAATAAGGATTTCGAGGTCCTCCCCACCTCAAGAGATTTTCCCATCCATTACAGGTCCTCATCCTCTCTACATCCTCTCTTCCAACAGAAACTTTGAGATCTGTTGGGCCTTAGGACCACTTGATCACGTCACGAGATTCGAAGACATCAGCGACAATCAGTCTACTTCATGCACATAACTTGAAGGAAGAAAAGGCGCGCTGAGCCAACAAGTGGCCAGTCGTCAGATCTCACCTTGGGCGAGAATGCCCGGAAGGAGGACGGAGAAAAGGAAGAGGTGAAGGGAGAGCTTCATCGCGGATGGAGGACAGTTGCGCTGTGTTCTCAATGCTTTCCAGACTCGCTCTTTTATATTGGTGGGTGGGTGGGTGGGTGGGGGGGGGGGGGGGATCCTAGCCTTGAGAACATCCGACGGTTTCCGGAAAACGATCACCTGCTTTCTCCCCTCAATTTATTTTTGGAAAACAGGACGTTGCACGTAATCCATCGATAACACGAAGTGCGAAGTAAATAAGAAATTTGATGAAATATACTTGATAAGAGGAATTAAAAATAGAAATTGACTGACAGACGCACCTGGATCTCAAAGCAAACTGGCTTTATTTGTCTCATAAATGGAGCAGTCGTTTTTACTTTTTCATCTGCCTGATCCAGCTTCACTCGATGGATGAACCGAAGACGAAGAATCCCAAGAAGGCACATTTGAGGAAAATTATGCTCCAAAAACGTTCGTCCAAACCCCATCGACGTCGGTTTAAAAGCTGGGGATTAAAACGTCGGTGTTATCCCTGTTCATCCTGATCGTGACTGCCTGGTATGCCACGCCCTCCCCGTCGGTCCAGTCCGTCACGATGGAATACACAGACGGGAAGAGGATCGAGGTCGGCGCTGATTCGATGAGGAAAAATTAATAAGCAAGAAATGTGAATCCCTGAAATGTTTGTCTTCAAAGTTCGCTACGTTCTCAGATGTGAAAAACTACGTTAACTTAGGCAATTACATGCATACCGACACCTATATAAATTAATTTAACGTTGTTTCCGTTCTCTGAAGATTTAGAATTCAAAGACAAAGACTGGTTTTCGTGCCAACCTCTGAAATACGATCCACTACAAACAATATCCATGGATGCGAAGAGTTTATCCAAGAAAGCACGCCTTGATGTCTGTGTCAAATCAATCCTAGTTCACCCCCCCTCCCCCTCAGCAACCATTTCCATTCGATTCCCCTTCTGTCTCATTGCGTTCGTGAGAGTCCAGCCAGAAAATCCCCTCAGGTGAGTCGAGGTGTCCCTGAGGTAAGCCCCGGCGATGGTCCCCGTGCAGTCGAGCCCTGGAAAAAGGGCGTATGTGCCCATACGCCTGAATGGACACATACGCCCCTTTTCCAGAGAACTCCTCGATTCTATCGAGAATTGAAACCTCCTCTTGAATAATAAAAAAAGGAAACCTCCGCCACTGCGGGGAGCAAAAGAAAATATGGAAGGAGAAAAATTAAATAAAATACATTTTCATAGAATGAGTCATGAATTCCAGAAAATGCGTAAATCTGAAAATGTGAAATTTCATCCCAGCAGGGTGCTATTTACCTCGAATTATGCTCAAGAACTCATTTTGGCTTCTCAAACGACCTAGGAGAAAATAGATTCCTCTCTATAGGAGTATAAAAAGTTGAAGTGGGATCTTACTTTATGTTTATTTCATGCAGAGAATTTTCCCACCCAGAACATTTTCTTTTCAACATTGGCTCAGAACGATCTCTGAGAATTCATTGCTAGTGACTCGTCTGTTGTCTGTTTTCCTTTGTATCTCGACTCTTTGAAAACTATATTTTCTACTCCAATCAATGTACACTGCAGGCAAAAAAATAGGAACACCTGGAACGATGCTTCAGTCAGAAAATTTATCGGAGACATCAAGGCATGAAAATGATCAATCGCTCTTTAATAAATGGCATCTCAGAATGGCATAATAAAAGGCAAGATGCCATCATGCGACCGTCCCAGTTAAGCACTCTGTATGACTCCCTCTGACCGTGATACAAGCTGCTAAACGACGCTCCCTGCAATTTCATCTTTCCGTATCACGTGGTTGTCACATGATAGTATCACGCCTTGGGGTGCCATACATTGGAGAGTGGTTCATCGTTTGCATTCCTCAATGCCTCCAAGAAATGGCAAAATGTTTGTGGCTGTACCGTAATATCCTAGGTGTTCCTATTTTTTTTTTCCCGCCGGTTATTTGGAATAACCGTTGTTTATCCATAAACTATTAGTACTTTAGTGGTTTTTGGATGGTTGTGCATTTTCAAAATTTCCCCAAAAATGTGAGAAGCTAGGTGATGAAATTTTCAGGAATGTAACTGGAGACCTTGTAGGGAGAAAAAGCTTCATTAGAGGATTCTTTACAAAGAAGGAGTACGAAGGACGATTGGCTCTATTCAATTCGTTCACAATAAGTAACGATAACGTAGTTTTATACACCTCTTGCTTTTCATTACGCCGCAAACGGGCCGGTTACATTGTCCTGGTTACTGACCTGCCTTCACTTCCGAAGTTTCAAGGGAGAATTCTTAAACCCCTAAACGCAATAAGGTCAGGACCGAACCCCCAGAAAGTGTCCCTACCATAAATCTTTCCAATCCATGCGATCGCCTGATCGACCCGTAAGTCAAAATTTCCTCTGGTCTCGACAGTTTCCATGTTACGATCAAATTCTCCGCCCAAATTTCGTCAATGAAATTACAATCGTTTTCAAGATTGAGCAACGTAGAGGCCCATGCAGATGTCGCTCGAACCTAAGTTGTTCTGATAACAGAGGACTGAAGAAACGAAAAAATAAATAAAATAAGTAAAAATAGTCACAAACGGAAGGTAACATCTGCCACTTTCCCAGAGGGTCCTATGGGAATGACAGATGACGGTAGAACCCAATGAACTCGATACGACGGAGCCCTCAGTGACCCAAGGTCTCGTCGCAGTGGAGCACCTCAAAGCACTGTTTTCAGCAAATCTCTTTTTTTTTTGCGATGCTTAAATGATGGATGAATGAGAAGTTCACGCGGATAAATACATGGTAAGACCATGTCCTTCCCCTCCTGCAAGATGATCAAGATGCAAGCTGAAGATCTTCCACCAGTTTTCGATGAAACGTGGACAAGAGTGTACATCATTGAAATTTCATTGACATCCTTTAAAAGATGAAGGAATTCTAAAAGTACCTCCTAACTTATTGGTCCGGTACAGGTATGTAGAAATAGTAATTTAAAAAAAGTTATATAAATATATTCATAAAAATAAAAAAACACCAAACAAATCCTCAATGAAATAATGGAAAATTCCTTCAAAATATATTCAGTTGACATCTCCTTCCCCTTCACACATTACCACCCCATTTGCGTCTCAAACGGAAGTCTCGCAGTGACTTCCTAATGAAGTCACTGCGGCAGGAAATTCTTGAAATCGAATATTGCCACTGTTTCATGAGAGTTTGGAAATTCCCCCACCATGAGAAAGATGACTGTCAAGAGACCTCATTTCTACGTCATAAATATTGGCCTTTGGGCCTGCCGAAGTTAGCGCGTCAAATATTTTGCTCGAAAACGGGAGTCTGTTACATAACGTAACGCCATCTAGCGTTTAAATTTTCCGATCTTTACGGCCGAATTCGTTTGAATTCGTCATAGCTTCAATGTGTACGCAGAGCAACTTCTCAAATCCTGAATTCGTAGGCAGTCGCATATTTTACCGCTAAAGCAGGTAGAACGGCTCAGTACATTGAGGGATTGCGATAGAGTAAATTTAAGGTTTCGAATAAAAATTGTTTTATAATGATGCGGACGCTAAGGTTCTCAATCGCCGTCAAAATAACAAGCTAAGGAAGGAGAAATATCGTAACAAAACCAATCATACTCGAGCTGGTGGTCAGTTGTTCAGCTCGGAAAAAATATTCTACCAAGAGTCACTATCCTGGAGCATTGCTGATGTAGCCTGCTTGAACGTTCTCCAATGAACGAAGAGGCAAAGGAGGATCGCCCTCAGCCTATGCAGTAAGGGGAGTAAGGGAAGAATAGACGGCAGCCAGCAGCCAAGCGGGAACTAACTCTTTCATCTGCAGCGCACTGTGGTCAGGCAACAAGTTCGACTCTTGGACGAGGACGTTGGAGTCCCTGTAGTTTGGGACAGCATGCTGAATATACAAAATATATTTTTCCTGTTCCACAATCAGGTTCATTAACGCGAGAGTGAGTCGGAAACTAAGTTTACAGTTGCAGGTTCATGTGATTGATCGTCTACAAGAGATATGCTTGGAGTTCAGGGTAAAATTCTACGTTGAAAGGAAAACATTGCAGTAAAACCCATGCATTGAAACGATTTCATTCCTGAACAAAATGGGCAAGCCTGATCCAGTAGTGAGCCTTCTTTCATTTATGGCAGGGGTCGGGAACCTTTTTGGCCATGTGAGCCATATTAAAATTGAACTAAGTGCTCGTGAGCAAAATATTTACAGAACGACATATATATATATATATTTTTTTTTTTCTTTTTACTGAAGTTGACAACAGACATATGCATTCTTTGATACATTGGAAAAATGAGGAAGAAACACGATTTTCAGCCATGACTCCATGAGCCAAACTTTTCGGTTCCTGAGCCAAATTTGTCTCATGAACCATAGGTTCCCTGTGGAGTCCTCCTCGTGCCCATGGATGAGCAGAGGGGAAGAGTCCCTGGATTACTACGCCGAGTAGTAATAGCGCACCTCCTCTCGCCCCTTCACGCCCTCACCTCTGCCCTACGCAGCAGTCCGTCTTGAACCTCCGGCCGGACAGCACGTGCGAGTCCGTCACGAACCCTCGGCCGGACAACACGTGGGCGCGTGAGTGCGCCAGGACCCTTCGGCCGGACGACACGTGGCGTGTCGAGTCACGCAGCCTGACCCTCACAGCCGGTCAACTCAGTGAACCGCAGTGTGAGCCCCGAACTGCGTGCTGGTCTGTATAGCGAACTGCTGTGGACTCATCACGAACCGACGACCTGGACCACAGTCGGCGACCAGGAACCAACACATTCGATAGTCCACGTATCAGGACGAAGTGCGTGCGAGCCCCAGCTACAACCGTGAGACTGTATCTCCCTGTATTTCNAGCGAGGCATTCGTGCCCCATATCTTGTGACCCCCTGGGGTTCGCTACATCCCGACCCCTGATTTATGTCACCTACTTAAACAATGCCATCTCCTTCTAGTCCTTGACCATAAAAAATCTCATTTCTCAGTTAGATTTAGCAAATCTACCCATGGTGCCCATGAAATGATAATG